TTTATTTGGGGGTAAAGTCACCATTTTATTTTGAAGGCCCGATTTTCTAACGCTGCGCATGCAGTCGGCGTTGGACTGGAAGTACTGGAGACCATAAACGGTTTTGAAAACGTCTGTCAAGTAGTGATGATCTTCTCAATAAAACATCTTTGCTGATGTTTTTTCGAGTCTTCTGGCCAATCAGAATCAAGATTGTTGCCGGAAGTCCCCACGGAGAATAACTTTGCGGTAGAACTATTCTTTATACATCCATGGGTAACTTCAGATAAAAATGAACACAATGAAATATGAACCCCGGTTTGATGATTGACAGGTCACAGAACAATGGGGGCTATCTACCCTTACCCACAAAGTAAGTCACACAGACAAGTTCAGCTGTCAGAACAAGTGAAAAACATAACATATTATTAATATGTCGGGTAGCAATAGATTTATTTATTTTCTTCTCAGAGTGTACCAGAATGCGTAGTTTTTATGTTAGTATTTCTAAAAATCTCCTGGGGGACAATCCCCCCAGACCTCCTCCATCATCTCATTAAACCTTTTTTTAAAAGCAATCTTTAGTTCTGTGAAGGAATATAAGGGATATATGCACTGTACTTCACTTTAATTAATATTGTTGCCTGAAAAGCGTATATATTACAGCACGATTTTTTGTTGATTAGATTTGAGTGGTTCAAAATGTTGGGTCGCGATTTATTGACAATTTAAAAAGTGGGTCCCGAGGCGTGACCAGTTGAGAACCACTGTGTTAGAGAGTCCTCAGCTCTTTGTTGTTTTCATGTGGGTGCTATAACATCGCAAATGTCATAAGGAGCACTATGAGGAGTGAGAGGTACCAGATAGTGTCTTCGATTTAGCATACATGTTTCATACTGTTGCATGTTGAGACATCCGGACATGAACCTAAATTAGCATTTATTTGATCAATTATAAATCGAACTTTGACATCTTTGCTTTAGTCTTCCACAACCTCTGTAACAAACATCTGTCTTTTCAGTCAGTTGTGGCTTTTTTAACACAGCAGTAAATGATCGTGGTCGGAGTACAGCCAACGAAAGCAAGTTTTTAAACCAAAACAAGAAGCTGAAAGACACTAAAGTGCAGCTTTACTAAGAGTGTATTCTTCTGTGAAGCAGAGTATAACGACACCAAGACAGCATCACCAAGTCTACAAGGCAAGTTAGAAGTGAAAGTCGATTTTCTTTTATATTTAAGCGAAAGATAAGTGCTATAAGTGCTAACACCTACAGCTACTTACCATTTGTGTTGAATAAACACCACAGCAATCAAACAATGTGAGTTCTTTCTGAACCCCACAGTCAGCCTAACTCATCATTATCACAGCGGCACACACACTTATGTCCAGCTTCTCTTTCACAGTGAAGAGGGACGTTTTACTTTTCCATCAACCAAAGGCTCTCTCCAGTCCATCACTTTGCTCTCTTCCTGCCTCTCCTTCCCTCTCGACCTTTCTCTGAGACCTTTAATCAAAGCGGAGTTACGGCTCCCCGGAGTCGTGGCTAACTACAGAATCACAGCTCCGACAGTGAGGCAGGGATTTGGAGGGTCTCGAAAGTCGGTGTCCTCCTCTTAATCCATACAGCGGCGCTCTGAATAATGCATGCACATCCAGATCCACTCAGGGAGAGAGACGACGGAGCCACTGGTGATTCAGCGTGTGATTTCATTTCAAACACAGCTCTTTAAGACTCGAGTTCTGGAGAAACAAGAGGAAAACATGTCGCTTTCTGTAAATGATGCAGGAGCCCGTCAGTGTGACAAGCGCAGCGAGATGATATGTCACTGCTCTGATGCTGATCTAGTGATGCAGTTATAGGCTTTAAAAGCTAGACTCAGGCTGAGGTTAAAGTACATTTAGTTTATTTAAGCTTAGGACAGGATATTTTGGGTTGTTATGGAAACTTAAAACTACAAAACCATTCAATTTGGGGTGAAGTGTCCCAGGGACACAACGACATGCTGACTGCAGTGGGGTTTGAACCTGTGACCCCCTGATCAGAACACCAACGCACAATCCACTGCGCCACAGGCCTGCCCTGGAACAAAGGACATATGATTCAAATGGAATATCAGTATTAGTATTTTAATTTTCAAAAGTCTATTGGTTTCATTTTGTGCTGTGAACCGATTCAAATATTTAATCGTGATGAATTGTAATTCTTTATCTGTTTTAAATGTACCTTAAAAGGGATATTTTTCAAGTTTGTAATACTCTTATCGACATGTGAGATGACAAATATGATTGCTTTACACAAAATGTATGTATAATCATTATTGCAACAATGTAAAAAAAAATGTCTTCCTTTATTTATCCAGATTGTCCCTTGAGATCATAGGTCTCTTTTTCAAGTGAGACCTGCAAATGTAAATGTAAGTTAAGTTAATTTAAGGTATCGGCCGGCAAGATTTAGCCACAAAATAAGTGCCTTTACTTAAAGACCCTGTGAAGTGTGCACCTGTGCATGATCTGTTATGCTAATACGTATAGTAATGACCAAAATTGTCCATTGGAACCCATATCAAAAGATGTTGGAATAGCAACGAATTTGACGAGTTTTGAATTTGCCGGGGGAATCTGCAGTCGACCTTCGCCTTCGTGGGCGTGGCTTTCGATCTACTGCGTGACGTCACGAGATGGACGCCGCCGCACTGTTTACATTCACCACCGTTCATTTTTTCTCTTTTTCAAAGTCGAATTTCTCATCGTTTTTGAGCTAGTATTTTCCTGGAAAGTGTGTCGGAGTCGACTGGAAGTGATTCCCAAACGAGAAAACCTGACAATGGAGGCGACAGTGAAGAAAGAGGTGAAACGATGCATTGCCGCTGGCTGTAGTAATGTCAAGTCTGCCGAAGTGGCGATGTTTCTGTTCCCAAAAGATGAAGGTGAGCCTGGCTGGTGTCATTGTTTCGTAGATTCGTTCATTGATCATGATAAATAAAGGCCACTGGTCGATTCGAGAGAGAGAGAGAGAAAGAGAGACTGAGAGTTACAGGGTTGTCGTTAGCATCTGGTGCTAGCTCGGAGCTAACGGAGATTAGCTGTTTCAACAATAAGGAGAGGGAGAGTCCTCTCCTGTGGGACTGAGAGAGATAACGTCAGCTCAGGGAGGTAAACTGTAGCCTAAGTTATCTCAGTGGGTTTGGTCATCTATGTAAACAAATATTTCCATCTATGTAATATTAGTTGTATAAAATAGGTTAAGAAATCCTTCCAATGTTTTTTGATTATTGAAATATATGTTTCATATGAGTGTTGAGAGCTGTATCCATAAATCTCTTAATTTTGCCCTCAAAGTGCACCAGAT